ATTATAAAATAAAAATTAAGAAAAAAATAAGTAAAAAATAATAATTTTAATTAGGGCTGGTAATGATTAAAATTTTTGTGTTCGATTATTCAAATTTTTTTTAATTGATTAATTTCATGCAGCTGTGCTCCTGTGTCAGATAAAACAGGTCCCATTTATGTATTTTCAGAAGAGATTAACAATAGCCCAACTCTTTCGAAAGAGAATCTTGTCAACCGTCTTTGATGGCAGCATTGAACACTCTGCACGAAACTTGGAAAGTCACAATATGTATGGAGACCAAAAGAAAACAGGAGAATAAGAAAATTGATGACCTTTTATAAAGAGGCCCCAAGAACATTAGATTTTGTGTGTCCCGGATTTATTGCTGTATTAGGCTTTCTGGAATTTCGGATGCAGGGGGAAGAGACACATAGGAAACAACCATCCCCACTATCTTTGATGACATGTCTTGCTATGGGGTCTGTATACCGTTTTCCTCCCGAGTTTTAATAATACGCGACAAGACGTTATTCTGCACTGAAGTTCACTTTATGAAGTTCCCAAGTGCTCCATTTGTCATCTAATCTGTTCTCAGGCTGTTTGCCAGACGGCTGCAGCAGCACAGGAAAGGCTAGATCATTGAGATTTTGTAGAGAAAAGCGAGGAACACAGTGAAATGTAAATGATAAATCAAACCTTGATCGTGCTGGAATTAATTTTTGGTGGTCTGGGCAGGCAGCCAGCGTGGTTCCTCTAAGTGAATGTATGTTGTGCGGGGATTAAGTTTCATTCTTTGGAGTGGACGGGATGCAAGTGACACAATCAGATACGTCAACTACTAAGGCGAAACCGTTTGGGGCTATATTTTCTCCAGGCTTCTAGAACAGACTTTTGTATTTTCAATTGATATGTTGTAAATCTAGAATTCTGAGTCTCGGGGGACCTCTTGGCACCGTTCCCAAAGTAGTAACACTATTTCCTTTGTGGGCACAAGGTTTGAAGGGATCCTGTAATCCAATGTATCTGAAGCCAAAGCCTTTGGCCTAATTTTTTTATTGTGGATAGAATAGAGAAGGGGTAAAGCCCTGTCATTTTTTCCCTCCTTGTCCCTTTGGGAAGATTTCCATTCATTCCTGCCCAAAAGACACAACAGGTAGTGAGAAAAAAAAATCCCCCCAAAATTTGGGGAAATCCTCAAATACAGTCATTACTTGAACAGGTATCCCCATTGGCAATGGGGACATGGACACCAATAAAGACCTAACAACTCTTAGTATCCAAAGCTAATAAAAACATTTTTTATTAGCTTTAAATAGATTCCTACGTCGCTTCTCTTGACTGCCAGTATCATCAATCATGAGGCACCTAGCGCAGTCAGATAGGAAAGGAGTAATAAGTCACATGAACACCTATACCTGGACGTGTCTTGTCATTTACTTTGCTCCTGATAGCTGAACTGAGTGGCATGGGAACGAGGAAAGGTGAGTAAATGCTACTTTGGGCGTTAAAGTGTATCTACACTCAAAAACAAAAATGTTATATATTGCAGCTTACCAGTCCTTAGATGTGGTGGCTCTCCTTTATTTTAGGTTTTTGTTCCTTTGTTTTCACCCTGTGATCTTACTAAGAAAGCACTTCCTGCCCTAGGGTGGCAACACTCCCTCACTGAACTGTATCCATAAAGGAGCAACGTGGTCACCCTAGACCAGCGTTTCTCTACCTTTTTTAATCATGGTACCCTTTAAAATATGCAAAATCGTGAGGCATCCCAGTCTAAAATGTAAATAGCATAAGTGTGACCACAGGGGCGACCTAAAACCAGGTGTCACCCGGGAGCAGATACCGGGTGACACCCCGCTGTGACGTCATCGCGCATGCGCAGTAATTTTTTTGATAATTGCCGGCAGCCATCTTGGTGATGGACACTGGCAGAGAGAGGAGGGGACGTCCACCCGGCGGGATGAGATATGCCGCCGGGTCCCCTTCTCTCTCTCCTGCAGCTGTCAGGCTCTTGGTCCATGACCTAGTGCCCGACTTTTCAGGGGGGGTGACACCAAAATGACTGTTAATCATTTTGGTGTTATCCCTCCAATGGTGTCACCCGGGTGCAGGCCGCACCCCCCTTCTAACGCCACTGTGTGACCCCCTTCAAAACCATTATCAGACTCTTATCCCAGATAGGTGTCTGGTATGGATTTTAAGGGGGGCAAAAACACAACATATGGGGTGCCCTCCTTCACATCAGAGCCCTCCCCCCCCTTTCACATCAGGATCCCGCCTTTCACATCATTGTCACTTTTACATTAGTAGCCCCTGCACATAAGGAACCCCCTCTTTTCTCATCAAAGCACCTCTCTCACACTTGGAGCCCCGCTATACAGCAGATGCCCCCCCTTCACATCAGGATCCTGCCTTTCACATCATTGTACCTCTTACATTAGTAGCCCCTGCACATAAGGAACCCCCTCTTTTCTCATCAAAGCACCTCTCTCACACTTGGAGCCCCGCTATACAGCAGATGCCCCCCCTTCACATCAGGATCCTGCCTTTCACATCATTGTACCTCTTACATTAGTAGCCCCTGCACATAAGGAACCCCCTCTTTTCTCATCAAAGCACCTCTCTCACACTTGGAGCCCCGCTATACAGCAGATGCCCCCCCTTCACATCAGGATCCTGCCTTTCACATCATTGTACCTCTTACATTAGTAGCCCCTGCACATAAGGAACCCCCTCTTTTCTCATCAAAGCACCTCTCTCACACTTGGAGCCCCGCTATACAGCAGATGCCCCCCCTTCACATCAGGATCCTGCCTTTCACATCATTGTACCTCTTACATTAGTAGCCCCTGCACATAAGGAACCCCCTCTTTTCTCATCAAAGCACCTCTCTCACACTTGGAGCCCCGCTATACAGCAGATGCCCCCCCTTCACATCAGGATCCTGCCTTTCACATCATTGTACCTCTTACATTAGTAGCCCCTGCACATAAGGAACCCCCTCTTTTCTCATCAAAGCACCTCTCTCACACTTGGAGCCCCGCTATACAGCAGATGCCCCCCCTTCACATCAGGATCCTGCCTTTCACATCATTGTACCTCTTACATTAGTAGCCCCTGCACATAAGGAACCCCCTCTTTTCTCATCAAAGCACCTCTCTCACACTTGGAGCCCCGCTATACAGCAGATGCCCCCCCTTCACATCAGGATCCTGCCTTTCACATCATTGTACCTCTTACATTAGTAGCCCCTGCACATAAGGAACCCCCTCTTTTCTCATCAAAGCACCTCTCTCACACTTGGAGCCCCGCTATACAGCAGATGCCCCCCCTTCACATCAGGATCCTGCCTTTCACATCATTGTACCTCTTACATTAGTAGCCCCTGCACATAAGGAACCCCCTCTTTTCTCATCAAAGCACCTCTCTCACACTTGGAGCCCCGCTATACAGCAGATGCCCCCCCTTCACATCAGGATCCTGCCTTTCACATCATTGTACCTCTTACATTAGTAGCCCCTGCACATAAGGAACCCCCTCTTTTCTCATCAAAGCACCTCTCTCACACTTGGAGCCCCGCTATACAGCAGATGCCCCCCCTTCACATCAGGATCCTGCCTTTCACATCATTGTACCTCTTACATTAGTAGCCCCTGCACATAAGGAACCCCCTCTTTTCTCATCAAAGCACCTCTCTCACACTTGGAGCCCCGCTATACAGCAGATGCCCCCCCTTCACATCAGGATCCTGCCTTTCACATCATTGTACCTCTTACATTAGTAGCCCCTGCACATAAGGAACCCCCTCTTTTCTCATCAAAGCACCTCTCTCACACTTGGAGCCCCGCTATACAGCAGATGCCCCCCCTTCACATCAGGATCCTGCCTTTCACATCATTGTACCTCTTACATTAGTAGCCCCTGCACATAAGGAACCCCCTCTTTTCTCATCAAAGCACCTCTCTCACACTTGGAGCCCCGCTATACAGCAGATGCCCCCCCTTCACATCAGGATCCTGCCTTTCACATCATTGTACCTCTTACATTAGTAGCCCCTGCACATAAGGAACCCCCTCTTTTCTCATCAAAGCACCTCTCTCACACTTGGAGCCCCGCTATACAGCAGATGCCCCCCCTTCACATCAGGATCCTGCCTTTCACATCATTGTACCTCTTACATTAGTAGCCCCTGCACATAAGGAACCCCCTCTTTTCTCATCAAAGCACCTCTCTCACACTTGGAGCCCCGCTATACAGCAGATGCCCCCCCTTCACATCAGGATCCTGCCTTTCACATCATTGTACCTCTTACATTAGTAGCCCCTGCACATAAGGAACCCCCTCTTTTCTCATCAAAGCACCTCTCTCACACTTGGAGCCCCGCTATACAGCAGATGCCCCCCCTTCACATCAGGATCCTGCCTTTCACATCATTGTACCTCTTACATTAGTAGCCCCTGCACATAAGGAACCCCCTCTTTTCTCATCAAAGCCCCCTCTAGCACTAAGAACCCCGCTATACATCAGGAGCCCACTTCACATTAGAAGCCTGCCTACACCATGGAAAGGCGTGACGCTGTGTGAAAATTTTGAGGCACCCCTGAGGAAAGCAGAAGGCTTCCCAAGGTGCTGCAGCACCCTGCTTGAGAAAGGCTGCCCTAGACTGCTACAAACACCCTCTCTTCATGTCCATTACATAAGGAGATGGGCGGTTGACTTAGTTTACAGAAGATAACTTGGAAACCATTAACATCATTTGAGATATCAGTTCAGTACACAGGAAGTTACAGGAACAGTGGAATTATCAGGATCACATGACAATGTACTATGTAGCTGCCATATTTAAGGCTTGGTAACCTGCAATACATTACATTTGTGGCCCTTTTGCTTCGCTCTACTCGGGCAATTGAGTGGATCCCATATTTATGATTATTTGTGCTGTATCAATTTTTGGCTTTTCTCTGCAACATTCGCCTTGCCTATTCATTCTCTGACACATTCTTTGTATTTTCTTGCAGAAAACCCGGAAAGAGCAGCTTTATATTTTGTATCTGGAGTGTGCATTGGTCTCATTTTGACCCTGGTGGCTCTAGTAATGAGGATATCCTGTCAGACCGACTGCAGGAGGTCCACCGCGAAGAAGACGCCCAGGAAGCAGGAGAGCGACAGCGACAGCAGCGATAGTGATGATGATTCCGACACCACATCTGACCTGTCTGCCAGGAGGCACCGGCGCTTCGAGAGGACTTTAAACATGAACGTTTTCACCTCTGCCGAGGAGCTGGAGAGGGCGCAAAGGCTCGAAGAGAGGGAGCGTATCATCCGAGAGATCTGGATGAACGGGCAGCCGGACATCCCGGGGACAAGGAGCCTGAACCGTTATTATTAGGAAGGCTTTTGTGCCAACTGCACACTTTGGTGAACAATGGGAGCTTGTATTCATGAGAAACTTTGTCAGGAAGTGCACGGAAAGCCATTATTTATGAGTGAGAACTTTGCATTTCCTCAGTACTCTGACCCTCAGGATACTAGAACGAGGGCAACCTTACTCCTTACTCCAGGAGAAGTCACAAACGTGACGTTCTTCTCTGAGACTAATGATGATGATGATGCTTGAGGCTGGTCCTTGATGACACTCCGAGTTCTGAAAAAAAAAGCAAGAGACTTGGAAAACTCAACCAGCATGGACAATGTAACAATGCAATGCAAGAGCTTCTTGCGACCATATGGGCATTTTTGGGGGGAATGAAAGGGTGGGGGGTATAGAAGGACGCTTTATGTTTCCTACAGACAGAAAATCATCATGGTGATTGTTTGTGCTATTTAATAGGTGTTTGAAATCTTCCTTTGTTTGGCAGCATTTACAACTGACACCTCAGGGATGAAATCCTTCAGTACTGTGGTCTACAAATGGCAGGCGTGGGAGGCGCTTCACCTATCAGCTCTTAAGAGGCTACAAGACTGAGAATGACCTGCCTGCTAACAGGACTTGTAGTTTCTCATTAGCTGAAGTACCCAGAGGCTGCCCATACCTAATGCATGGTGTTATGAGCAGGCCTGGTTTTACAGTGTTGGAACTTATAGGCAATATATTATAGGCACACTTACCCACCATTTCAAACTTGGCTGACAGGTAAGAATTAGTATCAGCGATGGGCTTATTGTCTGTTCAACCTGTGCAACTGTATAGGGTCTCAGAGGAATAAGGGATCCAAGAGGTAGGTGCGGGGGAGCCTAACGGTGAGGCCTAGTGGGCCGTGCAGTGGAAAGTCTTCCTGTAGTCGAAGGTGACACCTCTGGGCCTATTTACAGATGATCATTTTGTCTCTATGCCACAAGAATGAAGCATGTCAAGTGTTTGGTTTTTTTTTTTTGCACATTTTCGTGCATTCTCCTTTATCACCAGCAGATGGAGCTCTATTATCTTTTTTCAGGTCTAGCATTATATCTTTGCTGATACAATGCTAAAAGAAACCCTATGTTTACTGAACTGAATGAGTCATCCCAACAGTAACTCACCTTTTATCAAATGGCTCAGTAGGTGCTTTTAGAGCTTGTTTACACCACAACACAGAGCACACATTTCCTTGTGTTGACATGTGTTGGGGTGCGTGTGTTAGGGGAGCCCATTTAAAATGAATGGGCTGCAGAGCTTCTTAGTGCATGAAAAAAATAGGTGCTGTTTACATTTTAACACAGTGCACTGCAACCTATGGGGCACTGTGTGTTGTACAGTGCTGCAGTGCACGTGCATTTTGAAGGTGCATCGGAGTGCCATTTGCAATGGCAGTGCACCAACACACGTAACATGCATTACCGTGCATTGAGTTAATACACCAGTTCTAGCAACAATCTGGTGTGAACAGGCCGTCAATCAGACAAAGGGAGCTGCGAAGCAATGTCACTGCATTGCTTTCTCTTTAGCTAACCCTCAGTGCTCTGGCAATCCTATATCTTTTACCTACGATTCTATTTAAAGCCTAACTCAGGTCTCCCCCCACGTGTGTTGGGGGGAGGTAGGTAGTTATTAAAAAAAGCTTAAAATAGCTTTTTTTTAATACCTACCTTTTTCCAGATGTCTTCAGGCTGGTCACGTGACACACAGGATCCTCTTAGCTACTTATACAGCGGTGGGCAGTTCTCAGTGATACAGAGAGCACCGCTGACATGATGACTTCTGTGCTGCCCCCTGCACCATTATAACATGTGCTGGGCAGCATGGTGAAGCTCTTTCGGGGGGCAGGTTTGTGACGCCCTGCATTACAGTATGTCCTCAGTGTTCCAGGGTGAAGGACGCTGGGCGTTATTCAACCTAGAAGCCTGAGGCCATCTAGTGGCAAAACTAGGGGGACAGCAAAACCTGCTGCTGGGGGACATTTACAACATACATTTGCCAAGAGTTGGGCTTTAAGGTAAGTATATTATGTTTAAAGGGAAGTTCCTGAAGAAGCTACAATTCCTCTATTTTACAAGGCAGACTCCAATTTGTAAAGCAAAGTAAGAAGCCACAAAGAAGTTATCCTGCTGATATTTACAAGGTTACAAGAAGAGGAAACCAGGGGCGTGCGGTCAGGGGGGGCAGGTGAGGCAGAGCCTCACCTAGTATTATGGAGGAAAAAAAATGTCAGCTCCAAGTCTGAAGCTGACAGCTTTTTCTCCATTCCGAGCGGCTTCTATCAGGTTACACAGCAGGGAAAGCCTCCTCGCCGTGTAACATGTCATGGACGGAACGCTGCCTGTTAATCACAGGCAGTGCTGCATCTGGCTTTTGACAGGTAGTTAGGTTACACTGCAGCGGACTTCCCCACTGCTTGTGTAACCTAACTAGTGAGGCAAGAGCTGTCACAGCCTCTACTCGTTGTTAGAGGAGTGAGCTCTGTGGATGACTTGGGCCAATGGCAAAGCGCCATTGGTCCAAGTCCAATCAAAAAAAGTAAGAAAATAACAGAGGCCATCGATCATCGACGAGCAAGTGAGGGACAGGGAGGCTCCTCCCTGTCTCCTCCCTTCCTCCCTCCTTCACACTTGCTTGGGGACCGGGTTGGGGGTGAGGCTTCGTCAGGCTGGGGGGGGGGACATGCTGGGGGCGAGGCTGGGGAATGCCTCACCCAGAGCCAAAGGTACTGCACGTCACTGCAGGAAACGTGATAGAGGATTTATTTAATCGAATAGAAAATTGCCAATTTTTTTTTGGCAGCCCCTATGGATGAGGTGCCTCCGGTTCCCAACTGTAAACCCAGTTCTGTTTTCTGGGTAGAATTCCTGGAAAGGAGATGTCCATGTGACCACAAGCTATGTACGTGTGACGTGTCAGATACTAACAGCCTCAGAGAGGTTGAATCTTTTCATTTTTATAATATATATATATAAGTATTTTGGAAATGCTGCACAATGTTGTGCCTTATTGAGTATCTTGTTTGTTTATTTCCCTATGGAATGCACACTATTTTTATATATTTTATTAAAGGAGAACAAAACGTATTTGTATGTTGAACAATGAGAGACCAAATGTGGCCAAAGGATGAAATAAATAAAATAAATGGTTTTGTATTTCATTGTTTTTTATTTTGTGTAACATCGCTGGCGCTGCACATGCAAATTGGTTGTGTGTTTTAGAAAGCCGGCACAAGATGCGCTTCCAAAGAGAATGAGATTTTGTTCCACATGCATCTGTACACAAAACAACTCTGACGCGTTTCTGACCTAGGCTATGACTAGGGCCAGGTAAGGCAAAAACGCATCAGCCGGTGGTTTTTGTACCAATGCATGGGGAATAAAATTGTATTTTCGTTGGAAGAGCATCGTTTGTTGGTTTTGCCGGTTTTCAGACAATTACTCCAGAAGAGGGTTATCCGTGCACCAAATGTGGATTACAAGGATGCATCACAGGGGTGAGCTGTGCATTTTGTGTTTGTAGTATTTCGGGGAGCGATGAGGTTCATGTAAGGGGTTTACCATTGTGAGCTAAATGACTTTGCTTCAGACCAGTTGGATAACGCCCCACCACTCCTCATAAACGATGCCGTGAAAGGATTCTCACAACAGCACCACCTATAGGAGAAGCATGGTATTACAACCCACCAAGGACTACTTTTGCATGGTTTTTGGTCACTGATCTGTTTTTCACCTAGTTTATTTTTAGTCTCAGTGCTGCTGATCTGCTTCAACCTCTTTCAGCCACGTGCTGTCTACATGCATTTACTCCAGTATTAGCTGCACAACATCACTGCAGACCGGCTTCTTGACAATGGTGGACTACACCTGCACAAAGTGTGTTGGCACTAGGGGCGTAACTACGGATCACGGGTCCCATAGCAAAGTGTGATGACCTCTCTCTAAGCTGTGACTAACGATACCAAGATCCCTCGTGTGCATCTGTCATCAGTTTTCCTACACTGTAGTTGTTACATAGGATTAAGGTTGACATCAACTCTAACCACTCAAACCACTCGCTGTTACCGATTGGGAATCGGGCATGGGCTCCCAATCATGTGATCTTTGTGAGAGCCAATTGCAGTGATTGAGAAGCCCACCTCCGGCTCCCAGCATTAACAGTCCCTTAAAGGTTAATGGAAGCTAAAATTGCATTAACATCTTAAAGCTTGTGTGAGATTTTGGTGATTAAGTTTATATTTACTTTAAAGATGAGAAGGTCTACAAATCACAACAATCGCTGTGCTACAGTACTAACCTGGAATCCCATCGAGTGCTGCATTTAATCAGCAAATATGACTTCACCTGTGTACAAATACAAGAACAACTAGACATAAAATGTGATCATTTACAAATATAGATTATTTACATTTTATCTACACAATGAACTATTCTTAACCAATCCTTTTTTTTTTTTTTTTACATGTATGAGGACCCAAAATTCTCTGTGGCTGTAATGTGATAAATCAATAGATAGATATTAGACATGTGCACCGGCAAAACATTTGTTTTGTTTCGTTTTGATTCGGATTTTGCTTTATTTAGTTTTTCAGGATTCGGGTCCGAAAGTCAATTTGTTTCGGGATTCGGACGAAATTCGTTAGCGGTAGTCTTTACGACTGTAGTTTCGTCATGTCACTTTGCTGCAACAAAACTTTGTCAACAAATGAAAATTCATGTAGATTACCGCTAACGAATTTCATCCGAAATTTTGTTTTCGGAAGTTCGGATTCGTTTTCATTCGTCATTTCTGTTATTCGGAAATTCAGATACATCTGAATCTCCGAATAACGAACATTTTTCCGAAACGAATCGCAGATTTCTAATAGATATCACACCACCCTTAATCAATCATTTTAGGCATACAGTAAATACCTTTTTATCGAGAGTTATAACTGCAGTCATGTGACCTCTTCCAGTCTTGCAAGGATCGCAGTCACCACAATCAATTAAATCATAAGTCTCCATTCGGTGGTGCACTCACAAGTGTGACAAGCCGCCCCTTCTAGTGCAATGCGGCATTGTCACCTTTACAGAGTAAGTAAATGTGTCTGGCAGGATCACACGGAAAGATAATAAGTGCTCTTGTACATGGGCACCAACACCCGCAAGGATCCACAGGGGCTACGTACAACCTCCAATATAAATCAATGGCTGTACATTGCTGTAAGCTGGCATATGCCTGTACTTCCATACACTCACGTATCCACCAAAACTATTTTCAAATATATTCCTCACTAGCCACAAAGGATATAAATGCACTTTGTGCACCAAATGCCTTTGCAAATCCAAC